GTTTTGATAATATGGATTATATGGCAGTGAAGGAGAGAAATGCAGTTGAACTTAACAAAGAATTGTAGTATATGGACTTTTTCATCGTCTTTTGCAATGTATATTATTTCAGGTCATCCCGTCCCCCCGCCTCACAATGTATACAGAGCTTGGTTAATTTCTTTTTTATATGTTTGCCTTAAATACACTGTTGCCTTAAACCCATTATTGTGGGATAACACAACCTAAAAACCTTATTAGATATTTTTAACTTTATTATACTTTTTTCACCACACCTGAGTTCTTTTTTAAAATTAATTTTTATTCAGAAATACAGAAGGGAAAACATTAAATAAAAAAGAAACAATACCATAAAATATTATATATAAAATTAAAGTGTCTTCCAGACAGAGCCAAAATCCACGTTTTATAGCTGAGGCAAAAAATCCTGGGACCTGACAGCAGGTCCACGCATAGATCTGTCAGTCCTGGGAAATGGTCCCCAGCTGATCAGGATGGAGGGAGACAAGGGACATCTGGTGGAAGTTACTTTTAAAAAAATCATTCTAATGCGCTGGATCTCATATGCGCACATGTGAATATCTTAATGTAAACTCAAGCAGATTCGTACGTGCACATATGAGATCCAGCACCTAACTGAGTGATTTAAAAAAAAACACCTTCTGTTGGATCTCGGTCTTCATCCAATTGTTAATTCAAGTTCTCCTTAATATTATCAAATTAATAAGAAAGAATTTCAGAGAGTTCTAATTGCTTTCCCATTCTGCTTCCCTTGAGCCACCTATGTGTCCATGGGTCTTTTTCTTTTTTTTGACAGCCTGATCAGCTGTTTTGGGGCATTTTAAAAGTGCATGTGTGCTGGAGCAGTCCACACAGGCGGAAAGGAAGGAAATACATGTTTTGCATGAGTCCCCACCTTTAACTCGGCTACTACCGGGTTTCCAGCCATGTGCAGAAGGTCCCTAAATTACAACAACTAACACAACTATATCTAGACAATCACACTAACATAAACAAACCCACACCAATAAACACATTATAAACATGTAACTACTCATTTGGTTTGGTGAGAGGTTGAGCTGGGAGCTATTCCCCTTTTACTCCATGTTTCTTTCAGGGTGGGGTGTCATACTTCTTGGGAAAAATAGTCCTAAAGCAGTATTTTGGGATATGTCTGCACTATAGAATTAATGCAGTTTGATTCCACTTTGACTGCCAAGGCGAATACTATGGAATTATGGGAGTTGTGGTTTGCAAGGTCTTTAGCCTCTTTTGAAGTGCTGGTGCTTCACTAAACTGTAAGTGCCAGGATCCCATAACATTGAGCTGTAGAAGTTCAAGTGAGGTCAATGCATTGATTCCACAGTGCAGATGCCACCATTGATTATAACTTTTACTTCCTACATTTTGCTAAATATATATCCTACATACACTGAGACAGGTTTTTCTTTCTTTATAAATGTTGTGAATGAGTCACATGTGCCTCTGACACATATTTTCTCTGTTATTACCTACTTCTACCACTTTTGCCCATGTGCTATTGTTCAATTGTATTTTCTGTCACACTTTCCTGCCTTGAAGAGGTCTGCTCTAGCTCGCTCGCAGTGCCATGGTAAGTTCCTGCCTGCTTATACTTATAAGATATGCCCCCTTCCCTCTCTTCTTTCCTCACCCTCACCACTCTTACATATTAAAAAGATGGTTCAAAATGTGTTTGTTACATTTTTCTCACAAATATGGTAAGAATTGAAATAGAAATCATACTTCTCATGTAGTGGAAGCTTATTGGCACTTTAAAAAAGTCTTATTTATGGTTTATTTATTAATTGAATTTATATTTTGCCTTTGTCCCAGAATGGGATTCAAGGTAGTTTAATCACCCTTTCCAAAGCCTGGACTGGAAAGTCAGAATGTATATTAAATGTTTGTATCTTTGCAAGTGACTTGTATGTAAAATCAGATATTTTAATCCTGCTGCATTACATTCAGATATTTTTGCATAGCCAACTTTGAACATAACCCCAAATATATATATCTCCTTTTCCCCAATGCACACAACCACACCTCTCTTGATTTCCAAAGTTCCTCCCAGCATGTAGTGAAGGAGGGCGTACATTGCTCCATACATTCATGGCGCCAACCATTTGCTTTGAAGAGACAATGTGTTCTTCTTTAATTGCTAATGGGAAATCTTAATTAACCTGTTCATGAGGTGAAGCGTTATTGCCCAGGAATTCAGACAAAAAGCAACTACAGAGCTTTCTTTTATGGGACAGAGGGTATGTAAATAGGACAGGGTTCAAAATGGCACTATTCTGGAAAACGCATCCCTAGGGAAAGAGAAAAGGTGTCCTTGCTTCTCTTCAGATCCGACCGCTGTTGAAGGGCAAAAGACCTTCCTCCTGAATTCTGCTTGCTTCTGTCACCTGGAAATCAATTTGAGAAAGCTGAGATCAGCTCCAAGAGTTATGACACCCCAACTTGGCATCCAAATTTTGCATTACAAAGATCGCTACTGCTTGTCATGCTAAAAGCCTTACCTTACCTGCAGGGAAGTTCTAACATGCTTGGAACATTTTCCTAGTAGTTAGGAGCCCCATGACAAGCTCAAAGAGGGGTCACTCCTCCATCTGAGAACCACATTTGAACAATGAATATGGCTGGCCTCATTGGGACCTAGCAAAACTGAGAGACAATTCACCCAAGGAGATTCCAGGAGGACATTGCCATCTTGTCCCGTGTGACATCAGCGCCCCTCCCCAACACCAACGGCCACTCTGGGGCCAGAAGAAAGAAGGGGAGCCGGGAGGACATTGCCATCTTGTCCCCTGTGACATCAGCGCCCCTCCTCTAGCAATAATGTAATATTATGTAGTACTAGTGTTATGAATGATGTTATAGTACTATGCTAGTTATGTATTATGTAGTATGTAGTATGTACATATAACTTGTAAGCCGCTCTGAGTCCCCTTCGGGGTGAGAAGGGCGACATATAAATGCCGTAAATAAATAAATAAATAAATAAATAAATAATTCCCTCAAGAGCTGTAGTTCCCAGCCTTGTTTTGACCAGGGACCACTGTGACCAGGAACCACTCTCCAACATTAGTACCAAAAGGGTTACAAATCAGTGTTTGGTCAACTTTAGATTTGGTTTGATTATTTGGGGTGCTGATTCAGAAAATTACATTGGATAGACCACATCAGCTCTAGTTTCTGATACTGAACATGTGCCATCTAGTACCATCTGCTCACCCACAGAAACCCATATTTACTGGTCTAGAGCTGATATGGTAGTAGTAATCTTTCGTGGGTAGTCATCCTCTCCCCTCCTGAGATCCTCGGTGCCTCAGCACTATAAGAGGGTTTTGCAAGACCAGCCATTCTCATTGCTACGTGGTTTCGAGGCAACGGTGTGGTCATGGTGATGGCATAGACCATATTTTCAGTCTTGCGGACCACTGGTAGTCCACGGACCACAGGTTGGGAACCACTGCTCAAGAAGAACTCCAAGATCAGGGAGGTGGGACTTAAAATGTACCCATCAAAAAGGGGTGGGTGGGGCCACCTGTCACTTTTATTGTCCTGATGCTATTTTTTATAGTGTTGAGGTAAGAGCAAAAGACAGAATGGGAAGTACATATAGTCTTTTTAATTGTCTTTATCTTTTTTCTTATGTATTTGCTTGATGATACTGCCTTGTTCCTGATTATCCGTGCAGTTCTGCCAACTGTACTGAAATCCCAAGGATTTCGAGCAAGGAAGATTTGACCCGAGACCTGAGTGTTCCCTTCCTGGTTTGGCCTCACAATACCCTGGAAGCCCTCGCGGCCTTGGCCCAATCTCTGCCCCCCCCCCCGCTCTAAAAGCAGCCTTGGCCAGCATTACCCAGAGATTGGCTAAAGTCAAAATCTCCCCTTATTTAGGGTCTGTGGGAATAGATGGGCTCTGAAAAGGAAGCGGCTGCAACAGTACACACTGCCTGTCTTGTGTTTCCTGGGCTCAGGTGGCCAGGCCCCTACACCCACTTGCCCTTTGTGTCATGGCGGTCTCCTCTCTGCCCCTGATCATGGAGCAACAAGATGCTTTGGGGGGGGGGGGTGATAGGAGAGGAGTTCCTCCTCTCCACAGGCCCGTAGCCAGGATTTCGTTTCGGGGGGGGGGGGGTAAGTTTTTTTCATGGGGGGGTGGGGGGGGCTGAGTTTCGGGGGGGGGGGCTGAGTCTGAGTGAAAGAGGGTCTACCCTAGCAAACCTTTTGTATCATTACCCCAATACCCTCATGCATATGGGATATATTGAGTATGGTGATCAGATCATGATATGAATAAACATAACAGTTTAAATAATGCACCAGTAAGGCCTTTTCGCGAACCACCATGAGAATTTGGGGGGGGGGGTGAAGCCCCTCAAGCCCCCCCCCCCCCCCCTACATGCCTGTCCCTTGGTACAACTTTCTTGGTGGTGCTCCCCCCCTCCCGCCCCGCCCTTGGCGCAATGGGTTAAACCCTTGTGCTGGCAGGACTGAAGACTGACAGATTGCAAGTTCGAATCCAGGCTGAAAACCTACAGGTTGCAGGTTCGAATCTGGGGAGAGTGCGGTTGAGCTTCCTCTGTCAGCTCCAGCTGGGGACATGAGAGAAGCCTCCCACAGGGATGGTAAAGCATCAATAAACATCCGGGTGTCCCCTGGGCACCGTCCTTGCAGACGGCCAATTCTCTCACACCAGAAGCGACTTGCAGTTTCTCAAGTCGCTCCTGACACGGAAAAAACCCCCAAAACAAAACCAAAAACCTTTCTTGGTAACACAGAAGCGGTGGGACAGTTAGAGTGGGCACTGAGTAGGCAAGGCCCCCCCCCCCCCCCCCCCCCCACCCCAGGCTTGCTTCTTCCAGCTGGAGGAAGAAGCATGGCAGAGTGAGGGCGCCTGCTTTCCCCGCCTGGATCTGCAGGTGAAGGGCGAGGGGCGCCTCCCTCCGGCCTCCCTGGCGAAGGCGGCCCTGCAAAGGAGGGCATCGCGGCGGCGCCTCGACGCGGAAGTCCTCCCTCCGCCACCTGCCCGGGAGCTCCCTCCGGAACTTCTTGACTTAGGGGGCTTCCTCGGGGCTGGACTCCCTGGGAGGATACCTGGAGGGAGGGAGTGACGGGGAGGAGGAGGAGGAGGAGGCAGTCTTGTCGCCCCAAGGAGACACAGAGAGAGAGACTGGTGCCGCCATGCAGGTAAGCAGGAGGAGGAAGGGAGGAGGCAGCCCTGGGCACCTGCGCTCCCTGGGAGGCCCCCGGACCCCTCCCTTCTCCCTCTCCTCTCTGGAATCAAGGCAGTGTGCGCCCACTGGGATCCCACTCCGCGCTCTGGGATCCTCGAAAGTGCCCTTGTTACTTGTACGAGACCTTTCTCTTTCTCCGCCTCAGAGGGCTGGCTCTCCAAACACGGAGGATTCCACAGCTTTCAGCCATGGCGACGAAAGCGGTGTCAAACTGCGTTAATCCGACGGTGTAGGCGTTTGGGTGCCCGGGGCAACGGGACGGTGTCAGGCAACAAGTGGCTTGAACTTTGTTGAACGCTCAGCGCGGCGGGAAAAAAGGGAAGCGGATCCGCCACAGAATCTCTTGTCTCTGCCTTCTGGCAGCCCCGAAGCGAGGCTGCCAGGCAGGGGTGCTCTTGGCAACCTGGCTCAGAGGGCATTGATGTTACTTCCTCGTCGCCTGAGAGCGTGTGCCTTTTGTTGCGTTCTGCCTTCCAGGCATTTCCAATGTATGGCGCGTTTTTCCTGGGAAGCTTTGTTGAGCGGGTTTGCCTTGATTTTATTTCATTTATTTATTTAAAACATTTATATTCTGCCCTTCTCACCCCCGCAGGGGACTCAGGGCGGAGCACAACATATATACGGCAAACATTCAAAGCCGGGACATATAACCATACATATATACAGGCATGTAGCCGGGGGGGGGGGGGGGGG